GCAGTAGAGCAGGCCTGGGACCTGTGTCCCTGTCCCTGCCCACCACTCCTCAGAAAGCCTCCATCTCATGCCACACACCAACCAGGCCCTCAAACGATGGCCTCAAGGTCATCTCACAACCTGAAACCAGCCCCCTTCATCCTCAAGCAGGACCAGCGGCCTGGACCCTTCAACTGGTGGCCTCAACACCCCCATGAGGGCTCAACCTCCCCAGGATATCGACCCACCTGGCATGCACAAACCGAGGACTGGCACACCAGTGCACCCACATCTACAGCTTCACGGCCACCTGCAACGCTGTAGCCACAGCCCAAGGCTCCTGGGGTAGGGAGGCTTCAAACTCCACGGTCAGAACCCACTGTGGAGCCTTGAGCAACATGGCTGGGGAAAGCCTCCTGCGTGCCATGCGGCTGGCACTGCTAAGCCCGTGACGTGGATGAGCTCATTAAATCCTTGGAACAATGCCCTGAGGCAGTCAAATACCAGTATTATCCCCCTGCTGAGTCCCAGTCGGAAACCAAGAAAGTGAGATGCAGCAGGAGGCACGACCTCACTTGCTGCTGGAGGGAGTCGGGTGAGACTTCCCCACACAGGGGGCAGGCGGAACAGCAGCGTGGGAAGTGGGCTGGCACTGGAGCCAGCCGGACCCGGTTCAAACCCAGGCTGTGCAGCTTCCTGGCTCTGTGACCTTGAGCAAGTCCTTTCACTAATCTGAATCTCAGAGTCTGTATTTGCAAATGAGGACTTGGCGTATAGTGCTTTGGGGAGGATTAGAAGACACAATGTTTATAACCTGCGTGGCTCTTGATAATATCAACAATGGCTATTGACACAAGCCCTGAGCAGTGTGCTAGGGACTGTACATGTTTGAAACTCTGTGTCTTAAATGGAAACTCACCGGGCCGGGTATGGTCTCTCACGCCTATAATCCCAGCACTTTGGGAGGCCCAGACGGGTGGATCACCTGAGGTCAGGAGTTCGAGACCAGCCAGGTCAACTTGGTGAAACCCCATCTCTACTAAAAATACAAAAATTAGCTGGGTGTGGTGGCACATGCCTGTAATCCCAGGTACCTGGGAAGCTGAGGCAGGAGAATCACTGGAACCCTGGAGGCAGAGGCTGCAGGGAGCCGAGATCACACCACTGCACTCCAGCCTGGGCAACAAGGGTGAGACTCCGTCTCACTAAAAAAAAAAAAACTCACTGAATCCTCATAGCCCAACGTTTCCCAGCCCCGGCCCTACCGACGTTTTAGGCTGGGTAATTCTTTGTTGGGGACTGTCCTGTGCCCTGTAGGGCGTTTGACAGCATCCCTGACACCAGATGCCAATAAATCCCCACTAATTGTGACAACCAGAAATGTCTCCCAGACGTGGCCAAATGTTTCTAGGGGGTCAAAATCACCCCCCATTGAGAATTACAGTCATGACCCAATGAAGTAGGTACACCGAGCACTAAAAGGACTTATCCATGTCAAAGAGCCAGCAATGGTTGCTCTGGGACGCAGGCTGGCTGGCTACTATATTGCAAAAGCTGCCCCTTCCCTTGCCTCCCTGACTCATCTCCCCAGGGCCTACCGCCAGCTGCAGGTCACGGCTGCGAAGTACAGCCGAGTTCTTCTCCTCACTGAGCTGTGCCAGGCGCATGGCGATCATGTAGTTCTCATCCTTGAGCCGCAGCAGCTCCAGGCTGCTCGCCTCCCAGTCCTCCCGCAGCCGCTGACAGCGCTCCTGAGCCTGCTGCTGGTCCCGCAGCCGCTGCTCCAGCCCTGCCCGCTCCTCCTCAAGCACCCGGCCCCGGGCCTGCAGTTGCTGCTCCCGCTGCAGCTGGCTCTTGCGAGCTTCCCGCAGCCGTCGCACCTCTGTCATCAAGAATTGGGTCAGGCCCTCAGGCCCCTCCTCATCTGCCAGGACAGAACAGGGGACAGAATAGGCAGCTCAGGCAAGTAAAATCCAGGAGATAGTAGACTGTGTCAAAAAACTCAAATCAGAAAAACACTAGAGGGAAATTCTGGAATATGTTTGTAGAATTTGGGAGCAGGGGAGGTCTTCCTAAACAACACACAAAATCCAGGAGTTGTAAGAGAAAAAAGATGGACAAATCCATATAAAAATGTTTACACCGGCCGAGCGCAGTGGCTCATGCCTGTAATCCCAGCACTTTGGGAGGCC